TTGGGATGATACACGGGGGTAACATGAGGTATGTATTTGTACAGGTAGTGCTGTAATTGTGCGGACATTCTATAATTACCTCGTCGGCTCGTTCACTCGCCAGTATTAAATACTGATTTACATGTAATTTCTTGTTAATGATTAAGATTTAAAGGTTAATAAGGAACGCTGGCACAGAAAGCTGCCTGGCGTAAGAATTAGGCTAACACCGCAAGGTATTCGATCCATTGCCACAGGAACATCGCGTCGGTCAGGCGTATTTACCAGACACGCTACTTGTTTGTATCAATAAACTTATAAACAATCGCATTTCGATATCGTACGCATGCACTATTCATTTATAGGCGGTCATCGATGAGATAAGTGTGTACAGTACTAACACCACGGAGTTTTAACGACCGTTTATGTAGGCCTACGTATACTGAAGCAGAAAGCACACGTTACACCCTTTTAGGAAACCAATACCATTGTTTGTTTAAATCCAAATACAAATAAGCCTAAACTTTTTAAATGACAGAAAGTATGTGTATATACCTTAATCTCTAATGTGTTCTATATTATGTCCGTGGCGGTTTGAACGGGATAAAAAGAAACTATCTTTCATTTAAACACCGCCCCCAATGGATATTTGGCTAAGTTTTCTTATTGTAAATTGTATGTACATTGCATATTATTTTAATTCATTAAATGGCGGCATAGGCCTATACTCAATACTGTTGCTACGTTTGGCTATTTTGATTATATTCAGAAACGAAAACTAAAATTAATGACTTCATTTTGCAAATATTGGTTAAGAATTCGTTGAGGCAATTAAAATAAATGCATTAATATTATGTTTGCGGACCGTACTAACGGTATAATACTATTTTATTAATGCCTTTAAACTGTGTATGGACGTGCAAGGAAAAAGTGTATCTGGCCTATTATTTATAAATTTGCATATGATGTGATAATTAAACGAATTATTCAAAACTACCAATTAATTTTGTTACTTTGAATACTTATCATAAAAACTAAGTAACGTGCATTATTAGGCTTAAATTTTTTTTATGGAATAAAATATCTATTTTGTTTTAAAATGTTTTTTATTCTATCACTTCTATTTATTTCTTCCACCGAGATACATTCGTAACAGCTATTCATCTTCGACAAATTCTTGCAAATTACTTGCAATTATACTGACTCTGCTCACAGCAGGGCGGATGAATGTTAAACCTGCCACGCGGGGCAGGCTGCTTCGGGAGACAGGTGTGTTTATCGCTTAAGTTTCCGTCCAGCTTTAACGGCCTAGCATTGTGGCCTACCAAATCACCGGGGTTCTAACGCATACTATTCAAAATACGGCGTGAAAATGCTGAACTAACATCGTCCCACTGTTTGCAAAGTGGTCTAAAATAGTTGCATGATACAACATATAGGTACTGGTAAATATGGATACTGGCTACTTAGATGATACATTCAATCACAGTTTATCTATCTAGTTTTTCTATAGGCTTAATAACTTGTGGCGTATATAGGGGTGCTCATGGGGGAGGGGGATGGGCACGCTCCACCAAAAATACTCACGCTCCCCAGTCGCCCCTAAAAATCACGCTCAAGTAAGCCGAGTTACAAATCATTTCAAATCACCTTATATTGCGACCTAGCGCCCCTCACCTAATCATCGAGCCCCTGCACTTCACCTCCACGCCCCCATCAGCCCCCTCCCAATTAAAAGACACCTAGGTACGCCACTGTTAATAACGTATACCATAATGACATAGGCCTACTGCAAAAATAGCTATTTTTTAGAAAATTAAATAAAAGTAGGCTTATATGCCTAATTTTTTTTTTCATTTTAATACTCCAGCCATAAGCTCTAAGGCCTACATATTTAATCTTTGCAAACATATTTTTGTAAATGTTTTTTGAAACAGTTTCACAACATTAATATACTGTATTATTATTATTTTTTCTCTAGCGTCCTCCCTTTGTTTTGCACAGTTGAATCTTGTCAACTACTCAAATAGTCAATGACAACCACTTGTTCTGTCGATTCAGAACGATTAAGAACTTTATTATTTATTATTATTATTAATTAATACAACATAAACGAAATAAATATAATTATAAAAGAATATTTCGTAAAGTTTAAACATTTTAGGAGCAAGCTATAGGCCTTTTTATTATATAAGTCGTTAAAAATGCCATTATTATATCAAATGTATATTAACAAAAAGGTATAGGCCTACTGCGCATGCCCATCATGAAAAGATGGTGGATTATGATTATCAATTATGGTTCGAGTAAAACTGTCATATTTCGTCAAAGGGCGACAACAAACATAGCGACTGCAACGTCATCAAACCATCGGTGATAGTTTTTTAATTAAGTTAGTTTTTAGCGTACAAAACGAATTCAGAAACGTCCAATCAGAGGAAAGATTAAAGGTTGGATTATAAATATATCTCGAAGCGTTATGATAATAATTATTTGGAAAACACAGCAATTGTTGCGGTCAATTTTGCACCGATTTTGTTCAATTTGTGCTGTTGTAATAACACAGATGACTGGAGGCAAGCCTGTGGAACCCATTCTGGCCATCTGTTGTCTCTCTAACCTTTTCCTATTACGTTCTATGATTTCGGGTTCCGTTTTTCGGGAAATCATGCAGATGAGGGTAAGGTGTGGTGGCGCGCTAATATGGCCATCTGCTGATAGCCAATGACTACCTCTGAGGACAGCTGCGCGCTTGATACATGACGGCTGGCGTTTCGTTTTTGGTAACATGGAAAAACAACAGTAAATACAAATAAGCTGACACATATTGCTCATACCAGAATAACACATGATAATTCCATACAAGAAATATGGAAAAAAAAAAAATCAGCTTTAGCATTTCAGCATTTTTAAAAAAGTTATTCCACTCTTAATTGCAAAGCTTTCAGTGTTTTCCCCGAAGTAATTTACTATATAATAATTATGGCTCCTTTTGTTGTTGCAAATAGACCAATTATAGTTAGTAGAAACAAATCATATCTATATCAGTCTATTTGTATTTTCGTTAACTTATTTTCGTTAACTTTCCGGAGTTTCTTTTAATCATATTTAATCGAATTACATATATTCTTTCTACACTTCTTTTAATTTATATTAAATACTTTGCCTACATTGCATTATTCAATACGTGTGTGAATGATGTCGAAATATAGTAGAAAAGATTTGTTTGCTTAATAATTACATTATTAGGAAAATATTTAGAAAATAAAATATTCATAACATGTTTTACGGTAATTGTAATTAGGCAAACTATACAACTAGTTATTTGGAACTAATAATTATATGAGACTATATAGACCTATTATAATTTCGTTCAATTTTGTGGGAGTGATAATTTTCTAGATTTACAGTAGGCCTAATTATATTTGTTTGACATTCAAATGACATATTCCTAGACTTCCTAAGCTAAAGTAGTTACGTCACGAATTATTTTAACAAATATACAGCAAACAAACATGGTTCTCCTCACGCAGGTGCGCCAAATCACCACTTGTCAAAAGCCTCCCCTCGCGTGGTTATCGGCACTTCATTGCGATGGTCCTGCTTTAAGGGGAAACAACTATCAGCATAATGGCATATTGCCGCCAATTACCCATCCTTTATTATTCTACATAATTCAACAAATTAAATCCGTATTGTTTCTGTACATTCATTTTATCCGCTCATGTTACGTCCACTTCACTTTCTGCGACATTTTAAATTAATGTGAAAACTAAACTTTTGACTTAAGGGCAATTCTTTTCTTACTAATGTAGGGTTTCCGAGTCGAATAATCGAAACCAAAAGTGCATACAATTTCAGAATTGATTACAAGTACTGTGAAATGGTTTTAATTATTTAAATATATACTCTACATAAATCAATTTAACTTTATATGTGACCATGATTAACATTAGAAGACAATCCATTGCGTCATTATAATATTTACTTTAGCATTACAGTCTCTTAAACACGTCACATGAGGACATAAGACTACTTTAATAACCAAAATAAAATTCAATAAGACACGGGTTGAACATTGAGTCTTTTGTTTAAAGATATACTGTCCATCATAAAAACAAATTAATTTCTTTGAATTGCTTAATTTTAAGTAAAGATATTAACTTACAATTAGAAATTTAAGAGAAAAAATAATTAACAGTGTTAAATAATACCTGTGTAGTATTCTTTTGCAGATCCTTAAATTGGCTGGTAATCAATTTAAATATATGTTTTCAATCTCTTATCTATCATTGTAAATGAGCATTCAACTATGTATAATTGAGTATCTTTAAGTTCAGCTCAACAAATTTATTTTGACTTCAATTTATTTAAAACTATGTGAAACTTCGTTAACAAAGTATAACGAAAACTACAGTAGCTTTCATTGGTAATTTATGCCGGTTTCGACGTATATATTTTTTCATCTGAGCCATGTATTAAGAAAAATCATTCGCTGTTGGCATGTTTGAATGAACATTTTTGATGCAAAACCATAGGCCTATAACTTTAACACTGCACATAACACTATGTACCATAATCACTCTATTAACAACGGCCTTCATCATCATTTTAGTAAAAAAATATCAATGAAAAAAAAAAAGCCTAGACTATAATAAAGTTTAAAATGCCGTACAGTACACTTGACTTTTGGCCCATGTGGAGCCTGCCGCACTGACCCAAAGTCTGTGCTACCCGAACGCTCAGGGTTTTCGGTTGCCCAGAATAATATAACCAATAAATTTCACCAAAGACTTATTCTTAACATTATATATATGTATATATTATATATATATGTAGACGGACGTGGATTACACGGACGGATGTCGAGTACACACTCGCGTCCGCGACCCGCCGCCCGAACTGGGGTATGCCTGTCTCTTATACACATCTAGATGTGTATAAGAGACAGTATACATACATATATATATATATAAACATCAACCATAGCCATCATTAACATCCACATTACATTTGCCTACCTTATATTACCTGATAGGCTTTATATCCAGTCACTTGGCTTGCTAGGCCGGATTCGCCAGGATTTACCGGAACGACGTGCCATATACTGACGTCTCGATTGACCTCTGTGGCTAAAGGATATAAGAACCTATATCTACATACATAAAGTAATATAGGCCTATAATACATATAATACAGGCAGAAGAAAGCCCGGGTTGAGCCCCGGTTGGGGTATAAATTTATACGCATTAACAAGGCGGTTTAGGACATATTTTACATCTATATATTATGTATCTATTACATATAGGCCTATATATACATATATATACATACACATATATATGCCTATATATAATTGTGTTTATATATGTATATAGAGACACACCCATAATTATCATGTGATATCCCAGCAGGAGCTCCAACCGGGGTATACATTTACTTTACTGTACTAATATAACGATCATTACTCGATTGTGAATTGACACGAAAACTAGATAATAACTTTAAAACATTCTTAAAAATATAATATTGTCTCTTAAAATCTTGAAAAATATTAAAACACTGCTTTTTACTACGAGAATCATTTGGCTGTTTACTTAAAATAAATTTATGTTTAAATGTATTTATCATTAAATTGTCTACCTTTCATCCTCAAAATATAAGCAGAGTTGGGCATAGTACTAATTTTGCATTTGTTAATAACGAATATTATCGCCTTAATACATAAGTTAAATAGTTCTTATGTTGATTAACACAAAAATATATTTAAAATTATTATTTTGTTAAGAGTGTCGTATACGTATAATTTGTCGTATACGTATAATTAAATATACACACTTAAGAACATCTTCTGCATCTTGCGTCAGTTCATTTAAGGTATAGGTATTCTTGGGGGAAAGGGGTGTTGCTACATGTATGGTTTCTTTGAATTTCTGCTTTCTTTTTTTTTTTGCCTTGTGAATTAGTGTTTTCATGTTAATGTTATTTCCATAACAATGAAAATCCGAATACTTACCAGATGTTACACGGTTTTTGCACATATCATCTTCCCATAATGTTCGTTCGAGCTGATGAATATAGTTAATTGCAAATCGTAGTGTATCCACTTTACTACACTTTCGATTTTTGTATCTTTCTATACCCGGTAAATGTTTACGGAGTTTTTCGAATCCCGAGTTTAGGTTACTGACGCGTTCTCTCTCCCTTGCATTTGCTACCCTTCTTTTCTCGGAGTTTGTCTTATTGAGATCCGTATTCGCTGCATGGATAGCCCGGACACGGGTAGATTTAACTCTTTTTGTACATCTAAGTGGAGAGAAATGATAATTGTTGGAATACCTAGCCTTCGCTTTCAGTAGCTCTCTTACGCTGGTACTTTGGTAAGACCTGGGTACGACCCTCTGACTTTGAGGCCTGTAAATCTGAATGTTTTCTGTCGGCGGCGGTTGCTTGAACATCGCCGGCAGACGAATAGGCACATATTGCCCGGGTACTTCAAAACTAGCAGGAGCTTGGACCACAGCAGGCATAGTGAATGCATTCGGATGTGGGTATGTTGGGATTGTTATTGGTGGTTGGTACGTTGTTGGTAAGCCAACTGAAATGGGTCGCACCGACACCGGCGCATGTACGTCTGTGTTCGTTATTTTAGGCAAGACCACGGGGTTATAGTCGTTTGAAGCTGGTGCAAATGGTAGCTGGGGTATGCTTCGTGTTACAGGCGGTGGATCACGGATCACTGGTCCATCGCGATGTGATTTACCGTGTCCAATGTAATTTCTATTGCTGTTTGTTACTGCCTGACCTACGGCGATGCTCGCCTCGTTCGTACTCAAAGAACCACTAATACCATAGGAACCTGTAGGGTAATGTGGATGGTGAATTGTGTCCCACATGTTATCATATACATCACCTGTACACGAATCAGAATAACAGGTTGCTCGGTAACAACACTCAGCTGGCCCGGCACCTATATTAATATTTCTCTGGATTTGGGCTTCAGAGTTGCTTCCACCGAGTGAATACGAAGTCCCGTTCACTGGCTGGTGGTGGGCCCAATTCGTGGAATGCATTTCACACTTTCTTTATTAACGCAGATAGAAAGATCAGCTCCTATAAATTACTTTTATATTCCAATTAGCATGTAACAATTAAAAACACCAACTTCAATATGCCGTTTTCGTACAACAGTACATGCTTACACGTTGTGGGAATAAATATGCAAATTACCACCTGGGATGTACACTAAGTGCGTAACTCATTATCATATTCAGCGCAACAATAACTTCCGTTTTGTTGTTTGAAGTTGTTTCGATGAATTACCGTGTTCCAAATCATCGCTTGCTTTCCACATTTCCTATCGGTCAAAACAGTTAAATAGCAGTGATTTTATTTCTTTTGTTTTGAATTAAAAACTTTGAAAATTCAAAATATGATTTCCGTATGTGTCTGAGAGAATACGTGTGTGTGTGTTCGTCGAAACGCAAACATGCATCCTCTGGTTTATAACATGGAATGTATTTCTGTAAATTAAGTAAAAGTTCTGTGGCATGTTTGAGTCTAGTTGGCCCCCTACAATCTTAATAAGTCTATTACAACATGCACATCAAAATCGGGTCACTCTTTGACCCTTAACTCTTATACTCCCCTTTGATTTGAGATGTCATAATGCAGTAAATAGGTTAATTTTCTGTAACTCAAAACTAGATCGTATGTTATTTTTGGAGGTATATGTGATGAGTCTCCGTTGTCTCATGTTTCAAATTTAGCTCTTCATCAGTAGCGAGACCCTACGACCTTTCAGATAATGACATGCATAATTAAGAAAGTTACATTGATCTAAGTTGAAGACTATTATTCTCAAATTATGATACATAATTTATTTCCAGGTGTTGTTGCTGTTATATAATAATTGTTTAATAGCAAAAACAAAACCACATATTTTAGAAAGTATGATTATACCATAGACTCCGTCCGTCACTGTAAAGTTTAATTTACGCTTCCAAAACAACATGATGTCAATGTAAAAAAAATGTAAATATGTTTCGGGAGTTGGTGTTTTAATGTGTGTTGTAAGGTGTTTTATAATCAATTAAGCAAGCGAAATTGTTATTATAAAAATAATATTATTAAAAGTGACTGAAACAAACGTTTACTGATTAGAAATGTGCTTTATTTATATACAGTAGAACTCAAAGTGACATTAATTTTTAAATGTAATTACAGCGCCAAAAAAAAAAAAAAAAAAAAAAAAATACAAGAAAAAACAAAACAAAAATAATATATATATATATATATATATATAATATAGTATTTCATTTGTGTCAACAATCCTTATATTATACATTACGATGTTACAATACAACGTTAAGTCAACGAATAATAATAAAATGAAGTCAAGAATAACAATTTGTCATCGAAGGATATATTATTTGTGTTTAAATTTTGTAAATTTACAACATTATATAAAATATTGAAATGATTATCGAATGATATAACAGTTTGTCGGTGGCAATATCCAACTTTCCAATTAAATATAGGTCAATATTGAACTCATTTGAAATGATCCAATCATTTTCAATTGGTCAAAATAGAAATAATTCAATTTCTGCTAATTATCTATCGACAACCAGCAGCCAATTCAAGCCGATACGGATTCAAGGGAGGGGGTGGGCGGACCCACCTCACCCCTAATTTCAAATTTATATTAAAAAAAGGAAAATAATTAATAGTAAGTCTGAGAGTGCCATAATCTTAAAATTTTCTTACCTCAGCCAAAGTTATAGTGGGGCTGAGGGGGTCTAGGCCCTAGGCCTGTGCTGGGAAAAATCCCTTCCTGGGCACCCTAAATTTCGAATTCTTGGATACGCCACTGCCAAGTGTCTACAGTTCGTATAATGTAGGAACGTAGCCAGCTAAATTATACTGTAAATGTATATGTTCATTGGCGTGAAGAAAATATTTTCTCGGTCAAATTGAAAGCTTACATCGTTAAAATGGCAGAAAAAATTTTGATTTGATTACCTGAACATTAACTTATAGTATAATAGTACTTAACTATAATTGCTAATATTTCAAAATATGATATACCGTACACCCTATATAGACGGAAATTGCTATAGACGTACAGTGTATAGGCCTATTATTGTCAATGATGCGATTTAAATCAACAGTATACAATTTTGATTTATGTAAATGCTAAATTACGGTATCTTAAATTAAAATACGTTGCCCTATCATTAACAGCATTACTTAAACATTAAGAATATAATCATAAAATTATGTATATCAAGTTATCTGGTTATCCTTTAACTGAGAAATGTACCCTAAAGTTACACTACTCTGAATGTTTCGCATAAAAAATATTCCTTGTCTACACTAAAATACACATAATTTATACCATTCTCATATCTTTTTTTAATTATCTTATTTATTCGTTATAATACATGTTTAATGTGTGCTGCCATAATCACAAATTATTTTTTTCAGGTTATTTCATAATTTTAATTAGGCCTAATCAAGTTCTGTTGATATATTTTTAGATTTGAAACAGACTAAACATTAAACGATAAACTTTCATAATAATATCAGAAGTTACATCGCTTTTAAATAAATATCAACAAAACATATTTACTATATATGAAATTTTAAAATCCGAAAAAGTAGGTGATTTGTTGAAAATCATAATAAGATTCGATCTTTAATCATAACACCAAAACTGAGTAGGTACCTGTACAACTTTAGATGTAACTGGCGTAGACATTCGCAAATAAGCAATTGCTCTTTTTAAAAAAAAAAAATAAACTAGTCTAAACATTCAACTGAAAAGTCGGACTTAATTATAAAAATTGCTATTACCCATCATCTTACTAGATTTTTCTTTACATTCCTGATTTAGGCCTATCATGTTTAATATCAAGTTTTAACGTTGTTGATATGTGAAATTTAAGTACATTAGATTAAGGTCGTTATAAATAAGTACAAAAAGCGGAATTGGCAATATCAGGAATAGAATACGGACAGGATGAAGTGAAAAAAAGCTATGTGACCTGGCTACCGTTTGAACTTCGAACGGATAATGAAAATAACTGGGCATTTTATTCGAGTGTCGTTTGAATGTGGTCCAACTGACTTCTCAGCGTGCCTCCTTTAGAAGCACTGACCTCTTAACCCATATATAACGGGTGTTCTGCAATGTAACATAATGGTGTGCAGTAGAGACTTCTTATTAGGAACGCAGTGACAGATTATCATCAGATCTGTATACGTCACACGTTACTAGAATTTGAAAGAAGTATTGCGTGGTGGGCATGGAGCACAATGTTAGTTACAGTAATATTCCAACGAATATTCGAACACTAAAGCGAAATAAGATATACTGAATCGTCATATTTTATCAAACTATCACAATGAGCCTACTTTATATCACCATATCAGTAATTAGTTGAATGTTATATTATCTACGTTTTGTATTTCTTAAATACAGTATAGGATAAATTCTCAATTTGATATTCCATAGGAACCGATCCTCGGTCTTTCGTGGGTTTGTTTCGTCCATATCACTCTGCTTGCTCTTGTTATTGTAGCGATTGTACATTTTGTTGTCTGCTATTAAGGATGTACCTGGGAAAAAAAATAAATTAATGATAATATTAATTTACAACAAACTTAACATTATTTATAAATATGAACTAAAATATGTGATTTTCTCGTCCAACTGTCAATGAGTCGCCGCTTGCCGTATTAAAAACATGCTTTAATAATCATATTAATATTAGTCATATAGCTAGGCGCCTTTATGCCATATTGATAAAACGGTGCAATATTGTGTTTCTGTTTCTTTTTTTACATAGTTTTAATGTATTACTTTCATAAAAGTAATATACACACTTCTTTCACGTTAT